GAGGAGGAGGAGGAGGAGGAGGAGGAGGAGGGGGAGGAGGAGGATGCGAAATGTTATAGCCTTCAGAAAACCAAAGAACACGTTCTGTGTAAGAACACTGACCATTCTGTGCTGCTTTACCATTCTTTGAAACGGGCTGTGGTGAAGGGAGGGTGTTGATATGGACAAGCTTACAAAGTAATCTACACTCTGCACGCACACCTTTCTGTTCATAATCTGTCACCCGGCGTCTGTGGTGTTGGGGTTAGGCGTCTCGCCGTTGCTCTCAGGAGACCCGAGCTCGATTCCACGTTTGGGAGAGTTTCTATTGTGTATCTCATGGGGTTTTTTTGTGGGGGGGTTTCTGGAGTGATGTATACCTCTTAGCCCGGGTTCACCCTGGCAGAAAAAGTGGAAGCCTGTCTTCTTAATGATCTAATTTGTGTCATGTCGATTGAGGGCGTAAAAACACCTACATTAAAACAAAATATGTTTTGTTAATAAGAAGAACAAAAATATATTATGACTAAAATGTTATTAGCCTCATTTTTTGGTTGATAAACAAGGAGAATTATTTGGTTTTTGTTGACCAGTTAAAAGAGTGGAGAAACATCACATAGCAAGCATCAATGTTTCACACTAACCGAGTTTGTGCGTTACCAGTGATTTTCAGAAAAGTGGGGAAAAATTAAATTTCTTTTTTTATCACCCACCAGTGCTGCTCAAAATGTTATGCAAAGCGTTCTCTTTATACATTGGATTACCACCAAGTACCATTACATTTGTGCTTAACATCTTAGGAGACCCAAAAAGGTGTTTGACCTAAATCAGCTGATACACAGTTATAGTCGGATGATGATAATATGAAAACAGTAAATGTGTCAGTTGTGCAAACGCCTAAAAAGGGCAAAACATCAGTGCTGGATGTGCCGTGTAGACGGGGCGGTCATCTATGCACGGTAAGCTTCCCAAGAATTTGAGATTGTTTCTGAATGCTATCAGGTCTGCTGGGGTAATAATATAGACTGTAAAGTGCATAGAGCTTGCTGTTGAGTGAGAATTCGCGCTATACAAATGGTATCTATAATCATTATCTAAACAAGTGCTAAATCCCTTACTCTGTTCTTGACTCTCTTTGGATTACTGCCTTTTATTAACTCAGCACCGCCCCTCCATTGTTTCGGGGTTCCCCCCCCCCCTTCCTTCATCCTTCATCTTTACTATCCCGTCCTCAGAATCCGCGCTGACTCCAGTAAGGTCCAGGTGTCCGGTATGGGCGGAGTTGTGATGGACGGTGACCTTGGTCACGTGATGGTCACTGCTACTGAGGATATCTGTGTGACCTCCACCACAGGGGCTGTGAGTAAATATGTACATGTGTGTGTGTTTGTGTACGTGTTTGTGTGTGCGTTTGCGTGTTTGTGTGTGTGTGTGTGTGTGTGTGTGTGTGTGTGTGT